TGATAGATGAGTAAGAAATTGGTTCTACCTTTTTATATCAATTCAGTTTTTAAATTTTGAAACTGTTTTGCAAACGTTACTCCGGTAATTTGCCGGCGTCCTATATTTCATCTGTTCGTAATGTTGTTTTATGGTTTATTATTACGTACTTTATAAAATTAACGTCTTTGAATCAACATAGTAATAAATATCGTAGTCTTAGGATGCTACCTCTTATCTAATGGTATACGAGGGTCAAACTGAAAGTTCTTAGAACTGGCCACTTATAAACAATATAATAAAAAAATAATTCTAAAATTTGAAAATATAACTCTTTGCCAATATTACTGAGTATATATTTCATTCATTTGTCATTTGTTTTACGATTTGGCGGCAAATTGAAAATTGTCTGTGTCACGTCATCATGAATTTAACACGAGAAAATTTTCGTGCAATGATTTTTTATGACTTTCGATGTCATTTAAGTCAACAAGAAAGTTATGATAGACTACGATTGGCCTTTCACGATGAAGCCCCATCTCGTGCGACTGTTTACAACTGGTTTAATGAGTTTAAACGTGGTCGCACTAATCTCACTGATGATTTACGTGAGGGACGGCCTTCTACGGCGACGACTGAAGATAACATCTGTGTTGTGCGGCGTATGATAGAGACTGACAAAAGAGTGACCTATCAACAGATTCGGACAAGCTTAGGCATCGGTATGAGTCAAGTGCACAAAATCCTCCACGAACATTTAGCGGTCAGGAAGCTTTGCGCCCGGTGGATACCTCATAATTTGACTGAGGCTCAAAACTCCATCGTGTGGATTGGTGTCGTAAAATGATTGAAAGATTTAACGGAGGTGACTCAAATGCTGTGTTCGACATACTAACAGGTGACGAAAGCTGGATTTACTGTTATGAACCTAAAACCAAAAGACAATCTGCTCAGCGGGTGTTTCCTTTCGAGGAGTTGCCAACTAAAGTGAAGAGAGATCGAAGTGCGGGAAAAAAAATGGTGGCCTCGTTCTTTGGAAGGATAGGTCATTTTGCAACAATTGTGTTAGAGGATCAAAAAACAGTTTCTGCAGAATGGTACACTACCAATTGTTTGCCACTTGTCTTGGAAAAAGTTCGAGAGAAACGACCTCGCAGTAGGATCCTCCTTCACCACGACAACGCCTCGTCGCACACCGCCAAGCGAACGATCGACTATTTGGCGACATCAAACGTTGAATTACTGGGTCACCCGCCGTATAGCCCCGACCTCGCGCCATGTGATTTTTATTTATTTCCAAAAATTAAAGAAAAACTTAAAGGAAAGCGGTTTATAAATGCTGAAGAAGCGGTGGCTGCGTATCGCGATGCCATTGAAGAGACCCCTAAGGACGAGTGGGCAAAGTGCTTTTCCCAGTGGTTCCATCGCATGCAGCGGTGTATTGATGTGAATGGACAATATTTTGAAAAGATATAATAAAACTAATAACTGGCTAATGTAATCAGTTTTTGATTTTCTAAGAACTTTCAGTTTGACCCTCGTATATATCTAATCCGCCATGTTAGAAAAATTTTAGCTAGTTATGTGTTGTTATCTGAGACCTGGAAAAATTTGACATGAAAAGTAAACCCCGTGGTCGTTTGAAAACTTTGGTCCACAATGACAAATTAAAGGCGATTGTGGAAGCTGATGAACTCAATCTACGGCTGGATTAGGAGCAGCTTTCGACGTTAGCATTAAAACAATATTGGTCTATTGGCGTCAAACTGGTAAGGTAAAAAAGCTTGACAAATGGGTACCCCAGGCACTCAATGATCGCAAGCGCGAAGAACGCGTCGAGACGTGCCTTGCACTGCTCAATAGAAATGAAGGAACTCTGAACCGCCTAGGTACTTATGACGAGACGTGGATCCTGTTCGACAATAGTAAGCGCTCAGCAAGTTGTCTAGACCCTGGTTCAGCATCCAAACAATGTCCTAAACGAAAATTTACCCCTAGAAAAGTGACGATCATTGTTTGGTGGTTTAACGCGGGTGTAATCCATCACATCTTCTTACTAAACGGGACGAGCATTACTGTAGATGTGTACTGTGAAGAACTTAACACAATGGAGAAGCTCGCACGTCTCCAACCAGCTTTAGTCAATCGTTCGGCTCCACTGCTTCTGCATGACAATGCGCGACCTCATACTGCACAGCAGACGGTTTCTAAGCTACAAGAGCTGGGGTTGGAAGTTCTCATTCATCCACCGTACTCACCAGAGCTTGCGCATACAGACTTCTACTTTTTATAGAATAAATTTTTGGCGGGAAAAAAATTCAATACCCGAGAGGAAGTACAAAATGCCTTTGAAGAATTTGTTGCTTACCGTCCAGCTGATTTCTTTAAGAAGGTAAGCAACCAATGCGTTGGAAAACATGCATTGATTGCATGATGCATTGGGTGATTACTTTGATTAATAGAAATAAAAAATATAGAAAAAAAAACACGCGTTATTTATTTCATGAAAAACAGCAATTTCATAAATAAAGACCTAATATATCCTTAAAGTAGTTTGTTTAAATTTTTTTCTGACCCTTAAATAGTACTGTCAATTGCAGTTTGTTTACATTGCAATCGCAAAAGAAAGCGCATTTTGCTATCGTCAACTTTAACTAAATATAACTTGCTGAAGTGAACGCTCGGAATATTTCAGTGAAGTCAACCAAATTGATATTCAGATGTCACAGCATTCACCTTATTTTATTCGAGTACCAGGAAGAATCATGAGAGGCGCTATTCCACGACTTGCTTCCGCTGGGAGCTATGGCTATTTTGAAATTCAAATACAGAATTTTGCATTCGAAACTGGCATCGAGCAACGCCCGCACTGGACATAGCGCGTCGCCATTTGCAATGAGAGCCATTTAGATCTAGCGATTGTCAGTTGTCTCGGAAAAAAGTTAATAAATCATCGAAACCGGTCTAGAGAACAGGAAATTGGAAAAGTTGATCATAGTACTGCATTTTAGTGTTCATTATTAAATGTTATGACATTCGAGTGCATCACAGAATCCATTTGTTTCAGTTCCTTAATATTTTACAAGACAGTGGAACCTAAGATAAACTTGATTAAACGCACGGCTTAGCAAAATTAGAGACTGCTTCAATTTCCTTTGTTCAAAGTCAATGTATTTGAGAAGATTATTAATCTCAGAAATTATTATACGTGTAGGGGGCACTTCGTCAAAAATATGCGTAATATTTTAAAGGATTTAGAACAATGGACGTTACAGCGGCTTTTGTTTCTTTTAATGATCAACTTATTATTCGGAAATAATGCATTGAATAAAAAATACTAAAACTTTACATTAAAATCACTTTAGAATTAGTTGGCAGCTCAGTATTCGCTCTTATATAGTCTCAAGCAAAAAATAAAAATGTCATATTTATAATATCTAAGAGAAACGCTTTATGAATTATTATTTTCTTCCTAAATTATTATCTTTCATAAAATACTTGACATTAATTAACCATTTGCTAAATCTAACTAGCAATAATAAGGCTTAAAATATTTTCATTCTTCTAATATGATATAACATCTAGATTTTTCCTGATTTATCCAACGCTAAAACTAAAACTCTAATGAGTTCAAGTAGTCCTACTTATAATAAATCTTCACGAAGACCCTTTCAAATATATTCGTATACTTAACGTGATGAAACTCAACAATATTCATCCGTGGGTCGTTCATTATATCCCTCAGGAGCAGCAGGACAGTGACTTGTCAAAATTTCACTTGCAACCGTCGTCGAATCACTTAAAAATGCAAACTCATGCAAACGAGCTCTCAAGGTCCCTAATTGAATTACAGTTCTTAAACGTACAACGAAAATTCTTGCTCTAGTCCTCTTCTATTATTGGGCTCGTAATTGAAAAGATCCAACTGTTGTGCATTTCAATTAAGAAGTTTTCATTTGATTTGGACCGGAGTAATATTGGCGTGGCCTCTTTTAGCGATGTTATAAGCGGTCGAAAATATTGTCGCCCGAGACTGCTTTGTTTATTCAAATTCGTCAGACAAAGACGAAATTGATGTTGTACAATACTGAGCTAAGATAATCATCTCAAAGGGTCTCTCAATAATTCTTTGAATACTTTTTCCTAATAAAATCGAATAATCTATCTCGACTTTAGTAACTGAATGCAATGAATTTGCTAGCAGCTCGAACTCAAGATTTGGTTGTTGTTATCCAGTGAATTGGGTCAAGCTTGCACGAGGTAATAAGTAATTCGGCTCGCTCATTGATGTCAGAATACCATTTGTGTGGAAATAAAAAGACAAGTATATTGAGGTCCGTTTCGGCACAAAGCAAGTTTCCGTCATACCTCTTCTACAAACACTAATCACCCTTTCCACTCTTTTCTGACTTTCCACTTGAAAGTTCTACATAAGAAACAATGGTTGAGTTTTATACAATAAAAAATTGATCGAATTTCTTCGTACATGTCAATGTAAAATTGCAAGCTGCGATAAATTAGAAACTACGTAATGTAGGTATAGAGTTGATAATAATCATTATGTATCGAAGTTCTTTGAAATGAATAAATTGAAATTGAAAAAGTTATTTATAATCTTCATTTATTTTATGTTTACATTAAAGAGAGCTGGAAGCCAAAAGGCAAAAGTTGAGGGCAAAAGATCTCGAATATTTTTTCCAATATGATGGGAAGACCTTTTTATACGTTTTTTTTTATTTTTTATGGGATAGGGGGCAGACGGGCAGACGGATCACCTGATGGTGAGTGATTACCGCCGCCCATGGACACCTGCAACACCAGAGGAGCTGCGTGTGCGCTGTGTGCACAAGTGCGCTGCCGACCTTTGAGGTCTCACCCCGCCTTAAATGACTGCTTCAATCTCAAAAGTAGAATCTCATGACAATAAAGCATAAGAAAAATGGTGACACATAATTTGACCTTGTTACGACTGCAACTACACTCTCAAAAGTGCAAGTTAAAGAGGAAGTTCCTACACTCACCGATGTCGGCGGCTGCGTGAAGTAGGTCTGCTAGCAGCTCCGGCTCGTGACAAGCGATGGCTAGCCTGTCGTCGTGCAGGCGGGCCGCGTCAAGCTCACCAGGCGCTGCTTCCCTTAGCTGAAGCGCGACTGCTCCCTCGCCGCCGACAGCAGCGCTGTACATCAGCACCGCCCGGGGCGAGAATGTTGGCAGCGGCAGCCGCGTTGTATGCACCTGAGGGAAGATTGCGTTAAGTAAATTTGCTCTGGACTTTATTTTACAATATTTTTTACAAAGGCTATGTATTTCTTTGTCAAATATTAATTAAAAGTTTTATTATGTGTTTTGAACACTAGACTAACTGTCGATGAAAGTCCAAGTGGTATAAATTAAAAGATTACGTTTCAATTGCAATTCTGCGGCGAACCAACTAGGGAAAACGTGTGACGATTTTTGAGAAGATTGCGTTAAGTAAATTTGCTCCGGACTTTATTTTACAATATTTTTTACAAAGGCTATGTATTTCTTTGTCAAATATTAATTAAAAGTTTTATTATGTGTTTTGAACACTAACTGTCGATGAAAGTCCAAGTGGTATAAATTAAAAGATTACGTTTCAATTGCAATTCTGCGGCGAACCGACTAGGGAAAACGTGTGACGATTTTTGAGAAGTATTTTATTTTTTTTTATTGTCATTTAGAACTCGGGCTTTAAAGCAATGAAAATCTTAGTAGCCACTACCTTATTAGTATGGACGTATAATATATATTTTTTTATCTTATAATATTTTGAATATTAAGTATACGATGCGATGTTTATTTAAATGCTACATGCCTTTGTTATCTACAAATATAATGAATTGTTTACGTACAACAAGAAAATAACTGTTATAAAAATCCTTATAACAGAGTGGTATTATATTGTGTATATCGCTATTTCATTTAATATAATACTATGCGAACAAATTTCTCGTTATAAATTTCACTACAAATTCATTTAATCTGCGTTGTCTTACAACGAATCAAAACACTCGCTGTAATACAAAACATACTGTATTACGTCACATCACACGAGATGCTGAATAAATAGTTGTTCGTGAGTAATTATCGGCGGGTATTGTTCACGTAACGAGGACGTAGATTATAACGCGATTAAGGCCACAACTCGCAGGCCTTAATGGGATATGCCTCGCAAGGCCGGGCCACAATAAAGCTGTCGAGGCCTACTTTGTTAAAATTGCAGTATGAGTTTGTATCAATAAACGCACACAGTAGTGTAAGACAATATAAATAACATTTAAAATTGTAAGTTTATAATTATCTCATTATGGATTATATTTTATCACGTAAAAAAAATATAAAATTATTACTGAATTATTCATAGAAAGCAGGGGAATGAAGTGGATTTTAAAATTGTTTAATTAACAAATTATTACAATAATTGTATGTTTCGTAGCAAAGAATGAATTAAATTATAACTCTGCTTCTGATGTTTGGAATTATTACAGTTTATTTCAATATATTTATTTTCATTTTTTCTAATCTGCAAATATCGTGAGCATTCTAGCGCAGTTATTTCTTCCTAAGCTGCAAACAATTTGACATCAAGATATCATTTAAATAAAAATATGTATATTTTCTTATATTTGATCAATTTACAAAGCTATACCGAAAAATATTCTTAATAAAAATGTTTAAAAAATAACCACTTTGGCCCATGCACTCTGAGCTGGGACTCGAACCCATGACCTATCGCATTCCGCGCGACTGTCTTAACCACTGAGCTACCCAGGACCTAACAAGACTGACGATTTTTTAAAGCACTTTTTACTTTTTTGCTACTATAGAACTTATTTTCATCAATGATCAGGCAATCCAAACAGTCGTAATAAATATTTTTACGAATATTTCAACTTTATTTATAAAGAAGAAAATTTGTTCTAATTAGGTATGTATATTTTTTTAATAAAAATGTAGCAGACAAAGAAGAGGGGATTTCGTAATGTGCATGTCATAAAAAAGTTGGAAGAGCATTTTAAAGGCAAAGACAGTTTGCACCATGAAGAAGTCAGCAAAAACTTAGTTTTTTAGACTTTATACGAGTACTTCGAAAAATATTGAAATAAATAAGTCACAATTGAACTGAACCGACTAGGTATAATTAGTCATGCTGTTATAGAGGAATAATATTTTAAATAAATACTTACTACTAAGTACACATGCGAAATTCAGTTTATTAAATTTTGTCTGGGGTGGTGCGGTAAGTGAATTCTCTGTGTGAATATTGAATTGTTTATGGCAAAATTTTAGTTACCTTATGTCATTGGTTTGAAAGGCAAGAATTCACCAGAAAGTATATAGTTAAACTACGTATATATATCATATTTATTTCATTCATTAAAGTCAATTTTCATAAGTCTATGTATAACTATCCAATACAGTTTATGTGTTATATTATAACAAGACAAAGACAACCCCCCAATTTCTCCAGTCTCCTCGTGACCACGGCTGGTGCAACGTAGCCGAAACGTCGAGGTAAATAAATAGTTTCAAAAATAATGCACGCACAAGAGCCGGTTACATATAATTATAATATTGAATAATAATATTGAAATTGAATAGTTTATAATAAACAGAATTCTTGGTATTACAAAAGAGTTATTCTGCTCAGTATTAATTTAAAAGTTACACTGAGTAACAAACGACTTGACTCTCTCACACTCGTATCTTCAGTTGATAGAATTACTTGGAAAATGTCATAACTTAAGCAAATATTTTTATCAAACAGAGGAGAATTATAATAAAGTAAGTACTTTCAATGGTTATTAATAACTTTTGAGAGTTTCTGCTCATACAAATTCTTGTTTATTTGTTAGAAATATTTGCTTAACTTATGATATTTTCTCGAGTAATTAATTCTCTCGACTATAATTACGAGAGAGTACGTTGATAATTTTAATGTAAATCTTAATTTCAGCTTAATAAAATACAATGTAGGCTGTTTCTATTTTAATTGATGGTCGATGCTAAAACGTTGTCAATATAATATACCTACATTCAGTGAGTTGAACACCGATAAATGTATATGACAAATAGGTTATGCACGCTCTGATAATTACGCAGCCCGGGGGATAGTTTCGGCTTGATTACATCTTAATTATCCCTCGCTGAACAGAAAACAGTGATCTTCTGTGACGAATTGTCTGCTAACGATCTATTTACCGCGAATAGGTACCATTCCGTCAGATGATATCTCATCTGTAACATATCACCACAGAAATAAACTAAGAGGTAAAGGTATAAATGCATTTGGGAAACTATGTCGATTTATTTGAATAACAGTTTTTACCCCGTGAAGTTACGTTTATCTTGCAATCCAGATTATCTTTGCGTTACGGGAATGTGAAGTGTTTTCAATTTTACGAGCTTTAGTAATAGTAATTGTATCTAATATGGGTCTTATAATAAGGTTGAGGTTACTCAGCGGGTAATGGAAAGAGCACTGTTTGATGTTTGAAAAATGAGGAGATTGCTTGAATGATTGCTCAGCTAAAGTGGAAGTGGGAGAGACACGTAGCGAGATGAAACGATGGCCGATGGGGCAGAAATGTTGTAGAATACCGACTTCATATTGAACAATGGTTATTGAGTAGACTCTCATAACTTAACATGAAGAAATCGAGACACTCTAGAAACGTTCGATAAAGCCGGTGACATACGCATATGTAGTCAGGTGGGCAGGTGGACTGAAGATCTGATTCTGATTGTGGGCGGCCGCTGGATGCTGGTAGTGCAGGATCAATATGGAGACTAATGGGGGAGGCCTATACTCAGCAGTGAGCGTCATAACCCTGATACATGATAATGATGAATTAATATTTTAGAACGATATATGGTATTTGATTTTGGTAAAAACTTAAAACATACTCGGAGAAATCGGTAAAAATCTTAAAGTCTCGAATCTTAAGTGTGATGGAAGTATTATTTTATACATACAAAAATACCGTCTCCAGACTGATTCGTATTTGATCGGTTTTTTAGATTTAATCAGTTTTAGAGCTACTAGTTTCATCTTATCTTGGGTCATCAAAACTGCGTCGAGTATAATAATTTTAATAATCCAACAAGGCTATATAGGTACGGTGTAATATTAATTACGGATAAATAAAATGATATTGAAGAGACTCTCGCTTAGAGATTCATTAAACCTAATTACATCCTAATATGAATCGACATTATTTCCAATGTATTATTATATCTTTATAACTTAATATTAGTGCTAATCAGAGTGTAACACGATGAAGTGGATAGATGAATCTTATACAGGTTGTGCTGAATTAAGATGGATTTTTGGTAGAATTGATGAATCCAAAATTTAATTTTAGTTTTTGTGTGTTCTTTTTTTTCTTTTGAGATGTAGAATCTTGCAACAAAATAAAGAAGTAGATGATGAAGTTAGAAATTAAAAAAGAAAAACCGAATTAAACAAAGATTTAGGTAACATAGCATTCTACAATACATTTATAGTCACTTGGACAATTGTTTGGCGTCACATTTGTTGTTTAAGTTTATCTCGTAACTGATAAAACTATAATGAACCCTATAATAGACAAATGAAACCACAAAATAGGTTGTTAGTAGTAGCCTCATAGCTATTACTGTCACTTCCCTAGGGCGCGAGCTGCTGATTACGGTACAATTATCCCCAGCTGACCGGCAAATAAACGTGCTACAACTTTATTTCTGGATCGGATTGTTACTCAAAATATCTCATTGTGAAAAATGGAAGGTATATTTTTTGTCTGGCGGTTATAAAATATAAACGTGTAATCCCTCTGTGCCACGCGTTTGGGTATTGTCACAGATATCATCTTTTATACCGCTTCCCAGAAATTTGGTCAACGTTTTTTATGTAGCTCATAGTACCTTTGATTCTCACCAAAAATCTGTAACAGTAGACACATACATTTTAATGTGATATGCCACGGAATATGACTAAAGTAATAAACTCAAACTAATAACAAACTTCAACTGTGACACTCCAAATATTTTGATGTAACAATGCTTTGATGTAACACCGTCACAAAGTTATTTATTAATTCAATTTATTAATACTTTGTTTACATTATTACTGGGACTGAATCAGTATTCGAAACAGACAAAAAATTCTCAATATTAATTTAAAAAAGACCGAAAACAATACTACGTGCTCGAAATCTTCAGAACCAATGAAATTATGAGGGTATGACTGGGCTTTGTTAGTAAAACAATAGAAAGTAATTAACCGAAAACAACGAGTCAATAATAAAGTAAACTTTCCGAAACGGGTCTGATAACGAAGAAAAAAGTGGGTCAAAAAAGAGAATATATTGGCCAAAGTAAATGTGGAAAATGGGAGCATAATCAGTCACGCGATTAGTGAACATCCTTTAGTTAATGGACGAGTGAGGTTTATTGTTATATTAATATAATGTAAACGTGAAAAGAAACTTTTTTGTACACTTTCTGATACGAAAAATCTTTTATCTTTCTGGGGTTGCTAGGGAATCAGAGTCTGGTTATCTGAGACATTCGATATTTGCTGAGTGGCTGCCTTTTCAGTATCATGTAAGTGAACCAATTATTTTTTTCTTTCAATCTTTCTATGTATTGATATATTCACGCTGGATCTTTTGCGGGGCCGGAGAGGAGTAGGAGACGACTGAGCGTCACACAGCCCCTACATACGTTTCCTGCCTTCCCGGGGTTCATTACTCTTTTTACACATGTTCGCTAGTTTGTATGGTTTTCATCATTATCTTTCAATAGAACGCGATGGATTTGTTGGTAAATTTTATTAAGGTAAGTTATTATTATTCGTAAAGTAATTTCATTGTAGATGTGTTTGGCTGTAATAGGCATATCTTATTGGATATTATGACAGCACCACTAAGCAATTGGTTGGCGTACATAACAGCTTAGAAGACGATGAAAGAAAGAGGGAAAAAAGAAGGAACTTTACTGACCCCACATACATAATCATAAACATGTAAAAAAAGAAAAATGCGAGGCCAAGATGGACCCCTATTTCAGCAAAGGCCTCTGTATCATTCATAGATGGGCAAATTGTTTCTAAGGGCGTTATTTTGATAAGAGCCTTTTAGTTGCATCGATTAAAAATAAAAAAATATATGCAAGAAAAAAGGTAATCCAAATAGATATTTGATAAAAGCAAAATAATATATAAATATTAAGATATGATATATATTAAATAACATGATGTATAATATATAAAAAAATATATCAATCCATTTTCTCCCAACTTACTGAAGCAAAAAAAAAAAAACAAAATCTAAAAATAGGGCTGTATGGAAGTGATTCCTCAGCCAGCAGCTACCAAACAACGAATAAGTATGATATCATAAAATTTTGACTCGTATGCTGTCACTTTACAATTGAAAACAATAATCCACATATCAAAAAAAAAAAAAACATTTAAGGCTACCTACGTAATTGTGTTTCAACTTACATGTTGTATCGATGAGGTGGATGCTGATAATTGAATATTTAAATTTTATTATTTAGTAGTATTTCAATCTATATTAATGTTATAAAGAGGTAAAGTTTCTAGATTCGTTTGTTTGTAGGGGGTAATCTTCGGAAATACTGATCCGGTCATGAAAATTATTTCACCTACATAAGTTATAGTTTACACGGGCTAAGTAGCGGGAAAACCGCTAGTCATATGAAAGAAGAGAATATATAACATCATCATCAGCTCTTTTACGGCCCCACTGCAGGCTTACCTAATGCGAATAGGGATGATGATCGGGTAAAAAAAATGTAATTCTATTTAGTCCGTCAGTCAGATAATAGAAAAATATTAGATACGTATTTCTTTTTCTTCAATTTAACAAGAAATAGCTTAGATAACAGGCATTAAAGATGAGGAGTGGGGGCTCGCTACGTCACAGTTGAGTAGAAAACGTACTCTAACGTGACGTCATGCGAAATTTCAACTCAATGTAACGCCGTAATTTTATGATTACGAAAAAAATAAAAAAATACGTGTTTAATATTTTTTAACATTCTACCTGACGGACAAACAAACAAAAATTAGTCATCATCCCTATTAGAGGGTATTAAAGATTGCAAATTCAGTTGGTAACTACGACTTTATGTGCCTTCCAAAGTACGGAGTAGCTCGAGATAATATTTTTTTGCTCAACCATCCCGTGACCGACCTTGTGAAAGTTGCTTAACAACAACGATCACGAGTCGCGCCACTTATCCACAACGCGAACAAGCTACTAATATATGAAAAAAATTAAAAATCTGTCGGATGCAAACGATTTGTAGTCAAGTTGGTATGTTGGCTCCGCTACGGTGATTTGAGAAATCTCATCTGCTTTATGCATTAGACTCATATCAAATTAGGGAAATCGAACACATTTACGCAAATTGCTTTTGATCGGGATGAAGATGGTGGGCGGGGAGATTGACAGCAGTGGCGCAAATGAAATTGGTTGTTATTTATCGATCTTTTTCTCAGTTTAGACAAACGTACAAAAAAATATGTAAGTAACTATCTGTGGACACAGACTGTAAAGTTCCGCATTTACATAAAGAATTAAGACATAATATAAAGTGGCATACTTAAGTTTTTTCTATTCATATTTACGTATAAAGGTTTACATATAATTTTTAGCATAACTTCTCTAACTTAATTTTCATTTTAAAATATAAATTTAAAAAATTGAATAAATTTGATGTCGCTGGCGGCCCGCTTTTTATTTGGTTACAGTTCTAACGTTATCGGTTTTTATGTCTTAATAAATTATGTTAAAAATAGCCTAAAAGATATTTATGCCAACGTATACTGTCTGCCAAAACACTTATGGGAAAATATTATTATGCTAAATTCATTTACATATGTCAAAACGACATAATGTAAATGTTAAATATATATATTTAATAGACATAATGTTCCATTCAATATTTAAAGTATTATTATATCAGCCAATCAAGTTATGTGTAAAAATAATCATGTGACGTATGCTATAATTTGAATGGAGAGAGTTAAATTATAGTATCTGAAACAAAAACCTTCTTAGTTCCTTCACAGAACGTGTTTGATTTCAACTTCATGGATTTCTTAATAAATTTTATCCATTATAATATATTTGATTCAAGTTTTAGCATGTGACTATTGTAAAGAATTATTTTTTCTACTTTTGATTCCTTTGAGAAAAAGGTTTCTCTTTACTGATTGAGAAAACAGCTACAAT